ATGTCGCCAGTGCATCGCCGATCTATCAGCGATGCGGGGCGATCCTCCGACCCCATCTACTCGATTTCCATCTAGGAGGCCTCCACCGTGAGGACCCCTCCCTCGCCTCCCCCTCCCCCCTCCCTGGAGAGAGCCGCCGCCGCCTCCGGGGAAGGCCGCCGCCCGCCAAGCGGCCCCCGGGCCCCCCCGTGCGCGGCTGGCAGCCCCGCGCAGAATCGGGCGGGGCCGGGGCGGGGATCGAGACGATCGGAACGGGTGCGGGGAGGTACGAGGCGCGATCGTGGGCACGAGGGGGTACGAGGGAGCATCGTGGGGAAGAGGCGCGATCGTCGCCGGGTTCCCAGGGGGTCCTGGGATCTTTTCCTCCTTGCCGGGGAGTTCCCCAGGGTCCCTTGGTGCCCTGGTTCCCTGCTTCCATGGCCTTCGCTCCTCGGTTCCGTTGTCTTGGCTTCTTGGTTTCTTGGAGTTTCGGGCCTCGTCGCCGGGCCCCCTCGGTTGCCAGGTTGCCTGGTCGCCTGGTTGCCGAGGTTGCCCAGGGTCCCCATGGGGTGCTTACAGTCAGCCCGCGTAGGAAGGATGAGCAGCTTTCCAAGGTTGCCCTTGCATCCTTCCCCTCCGGCCTATCCTTGGCCGCTCTCGCTGGCCGCGCCCAGCTCGCAAAATGCCGACATGGCCTTCCCAGGGCCTTGCATCCTTACCGCGCATCCTTCTGATACGGGTTGACTGTACGGCCACTTGCAGAGGAGAGTAGGGGCAGGGGGGAAGGCTTCTTAGAAGCACCCCTGCTTCTTAGAAGGCGCGGGCCTGTCTGTAGATGTAAGGCCGGCGCCTTCTCGGAAGCAGCCTCCTTCCAAGTAGCTTCCCCCCCTCCCCCTACCCCCTCGCGCGGCCAAAAGGGGCACGAAAGAAGGTGTACGAAGACCGACACCACTTCCTGCTCAGTTTTAGCAGGGCTCGCTATCGGTGCCGCTGCGGGCGTTGCCCATGTGAGGCAGAAGGCCGCTTGGCCAACAGCGGCCGCTGTCGGTTTCGGACAACTGACAACAGGGAAAAGTCGCTCTGCAGAGCGTTCCAGAACGCTCCCTGGGACGCCCGAGAAGGCCACGGCGCCCGATACATTTTCCAGAGCCGCCGGATTTCAGAGATCTCCGAGTTTCGAGGTGGACAGAGCTGCATACACATACACTTTTGACGGTCCGTGCGGATTTCTTGGCGCTGCGCTGGACCCTCTCCTTCGCACGCGGAGCGCGCCAGGGGCTGCGCTGGAGGCGCCACCAGGGAGGTCCGGCGCAGATGCAAGCAACTCGCGCGGACCGTCAGAGTTTCTGTGGATTTTTCTCCCTCCAGATCGATCCCTGTCCAATCTCATATCTTATCCTCGTCCTGGCTACGTCTTACAGAATCAGTGGTCCAACAACGGGGTCCTGAGGGATGGGGTCCCAAGGACGAGAGGTGCCTCAAACGACGTGAATCCGCACTTGGATCCCTTCCCGTCCATAGGTCAGGGCAACGATCGGGGCGGCAGGCATCGGGGGGACACGCATCGGCCCCCAATCGCCCATTGATCGCCGATAGGGGCCCGGCAGCCCTCACCTGCCCAGGAACGCGCGGGTCCTCCCTCGGGGCCCAGTCGCCGATCCCTCGGCGATGCATCGCCGATTCCGTGCCGACGTGTCCCCGCCTGCGCCAGCCGCTGCCCCCCGTGAGGTCCCCATCCCTCAGGCCCCCCCTCCTTGGACCACCGACAGAAGGGCTCCCAAGGGGGTTTTTGGGGAGGGTGTTCTCCAGGAGGGGTCCCCCCAGGGGCTTCGCACCCCCCGTCTCGGCGAGGCTCCGAGGCCCCCGGGGGGGCCCCTCCTGGGCCACCTCCTCCCGCCCAAAACGCCCCCCGCGTGGGACCCTCCGGGGGGCCCCTCCTGGAACTTCCTCCTCCCCCCAAAGAGCCCGCCTGTGGGACCCTCCGGACAGCAGAGGCCGCCCGCGGCAGCCTGCCTCGCGGCCGCGGGGCCGCCCCCGTGCGCCGCCGCCGCTCGGCCGCGCGGGCGGCCGCGCAGGCGGGCGGCCCGCGCAGGGGCCGCCCGCGGCGGGGCCCCGCGGAGGCCCGCGGGGGGCCTCGGGGCCGCGGCGAGGACGACGTCGAGGAGGACGACGACAGAAACGACGACGGCGGCAGCGAGGAGGAGGAGGAGGAGGAGGAGGAGGAGGAGGAGGAGGAGGAGGAGGAGGAGGAAAGGGGGGAGGAGAAGGAGGAGGAGGAGGGGAGGAGGGAGGAGGAGGAGGAAGAGGAGGAGGAGGAGGAGGAGGAGGAGGAGGAGGAGGAGGAGGAGAAAGACGATCGGGCGTCTGCAAACCCATTCCCACAACTCACGACGGGAGGTTTTTTTTTTTCGGTTGTTGCAATTTTCGGCCTCCAGGGGCCCTCGCCGGGCCCCGGGACAGTCTAGAAACGACTCTTGACAAAAAACTGATCCAGGGGAATGGGCCTAGACTTCCCAGGGTCCACGTCACGAAACAATCACGACGTCGGGAGTCTTGGATGTTCTGTTAGCTTCGGCCCATCCCGCTACCGTGCCTGGATTGTAGGTTTGGGGCCTTGCTGAGGCCCTCCTGGCACGTTTTGGGGCGCTCGCGGCTCTGGAAGAGCCATCTGGGAAGCGCTCGAGGAACCGCGGGAGGCACGCCAGGAACCCTGGACAATTCGAGGCTTCGGCGTCTGGGTCCCTGCATACTCGATCCTGAGGACTGAGGGCCGAGAACGTTGCGGTGTGGTGACTGGCGGCTTTGAATCTCCTGGGCATCGGGGGCGTCCTGAAATGGGGGGGGGGCGAGAATTTCAGCCCAGGAGTGCCAAAGGGAGGAGCCGCCGTCCTCTCTCAGGGGGGCTGCGAAGGCTGCAGCAGCTGCGGCAGCCAACTACGGAGCTTCGGCGTGTCGGTTTTGGTTGCCTGCTGTGATTCGCGCGATGTCGAGGAACGGTTCCGGGGTGAAAATCCATGTGGGACCTCCCGACGCTGCGCGGGAGAGCCCAGCCGCGAAAAACAAGCTCCCCAATAGGAGATTTCTTTTGGAAAATTGCCATTTTGGGGGCTCGGGGCCGCTCAAACACCATGATTCTTGGCCACGCAACCTTCGGCTTCTACGGGTGCCCCCGGGGCCGTCGAGGTTCCATACTTCCAGGGGTCCGCGTTGAGCGAAACTCACGACGTCGGATGTCTGGGAGTGGGGGGGGGGAGCGAGGGTTGCAGGAACGGGGGCCCTGAATGGGCTCCCCTGCGGCCCCGAGGGTGCACGAAAGGTGAACCTTTCTGCGCTACCCCGCCCACTGCCAACCCGCCAGCAACGTCCGAGCCGAGGCGCCTCGGGGGCGTCGAAGGGGGGGGGGGGACGATATGCTTTTGTTCGGACGGTGTTCGTCGGTTCCCAGAAAAGGTTTGCAGCCTCGGGGTGCTTTCTAGCGGCTGCGGCTCGCCGAGAGCTTTCCAGAGCTGCCCGGGTCGCCCCGATTAGCTGGGAGGAGTCGGGGGTGGACAGAACCCCCACCCTGACACGTCGATTAGTGAATTGTCCGTTTTCGGTTCTCGAGAGGGCGCCGAGGTCGTTTTCATTAAACCACGTTTTCCCCGGAGAAGGGCCAAGAGCAAACCTTAGCTTCAGGAGTATCTTCGATGTGTCGATGTGTCCTCCGGGAATGCTTTTTGATTTGGGTACCTCCATGAGTGGGGCATTGAGCATTCGGCGAAGGGGCTTTCGGTAGCAAACCATGGGAGCCTCGTGTACCCTCGTAATTTCTGTCTCTAGCGTCGATTAGCGTCGATTCGCGTCTGGGAGTCGATGGCATAGCGCCGAATTAGCGTCGGTTAGCGTCGATGAGCGTCGATTTTGCGTCGATTAGCGTCGATTTAGCGCCGGCTAGCGTTGATTCGCAAGAGCCGACAAGATGGTATGGGAGGCTCCCATGAGTTGCCACCGAGGGGACTCCTATTCTGAACCCACGCTGCGGCCGGGAGCTTTTGCTCAGCCTGTCGCGCCGCCGGCTTTGGCCCACCACGCTGCGGCGCGACACGCTAACCACGTCCCCGTCCACGGGCGTCAACGTCCTGAGCCTTTCCCAGCCCTCCGTCCCGCGGAGCGTAGCGACATTCTATCCGCTGGCAGGGGCCGCCGCTGCGACATGCCAAGCAAAACATTCCGACCGTATTGTGGCAATGCGTCGACCCCCAATTTCCGACATCATAACTTTTTCGCAGCGAGGACCCCCTGGAGGTCTAGACCCATTCCCCCGCACCAGCTTGTCTTCCTGAGCCGTTTTTTTTCTAACGGTCCTGGGACATATTCCGAACATTGCAGAACACCTGTTCGCCTTGAGTTTTGCACGACGCGAAGGAGTCTGGGACTGTGGCCAGCCTCCCTCTGCCTGGGTCCAAGGCGAGAATTTATACATGACCACCGCCTGGAGGATCAATTTTCGGGGACCTTGACGGGCGGTGGATATGGGCACTTTCGGGCCTCCAGGGGCCAAACTATAGCCATATCCACCGCCCGCTGGGGCACCAGGACGTCGGTGCCCAGGCGGTGGATGTGAATAAATCCCCGCCTCGCACTGGGCCCCTCCCGTCGGCGCAGCCTCCCTCTGCTTGGGACTGTAGCCAGCCTCCTTCTGCCTGGTCATACTTCGGCTCCCCAGCTGCCATTCGGGACGAGCTTGGCACCCCCCGGAACGCTCTCGGCGAGGCGCAGTTGCTGGAAGGCACCACGTGGCAGGAAAGCCGCTGGGGACAAACGAAAAGGCCCGAATACCTGAAACTTCGAACCTCGAATCTCGAACCTCTGCCTGGGCCTGGGCCCCTTCCTCTCGAACCTCGAGCCTGAAAGCCTCGAGCCTCGAACCTCGAACCTCAGAACCTCCAGCCTCAAGCCCTCTGCCTGGGTCCCTCTCTCGCGAACCTCGTCCCGAAACCTCACGCCTCGAACCGCCTGGGGGGCGCGCAATGGGTGGGTGGCGATACATAGGGGGCAGCGAGGGCTGCCGAATAGGGGCCCTCCCCTCAGGGGGCCAGGGCCCGAAAAGGGTACCTCTCTCTTTCCCCCCCACGTGTCGCCCCTCTAGCAGTGCGCGCCCGAACCTCGAGCCTCGAGCCCTGCGCCAGACTCCCTCTGCCTGGGCCCCGCCCCCCTCGGCGCAGCCCGCGCAGGGTCGCTGGGCAGCGCGCCAAGCCGAGGGGGCCGCCGGGCAGCGCGCAGGGGCGCCGCGCGCTCGAGGCCATGGAGGTCCTCGCGGCGCTGGGCCTCGGGGCCAAGGAGTCGGCCACGCGCCAAGGGCCTCGGGGCCAGGGGGGGGAGGAGGAGGAGGAGGAGGAGGAGGAGGAGGAGGAGGAGGAGGAGGGAGGAGGAGGAGGAGGAGGAGGAGGAGGAGGAGGAGAGGGAGGAGGAGGAGAGGAGGAGGAGGCGGAGGCGGAGGAGGAGGAGGAGGCGGAGGAGGAGGAGGCGGAGGAGGGAGGAGCGGAGGGAGGAGGAGGAGGCGGAGGAGGAGAAGGAGGAGAAGAAGGAGGTGGAGGAGGCGGAGGAGGAGGAGGAGGAGGAGGAGGAGGAGAAGGAGGAGAAGTAGGAGGAGGAGGAGGAGGAGGAGGAAGGAGGAGGAGGAGGAGGAGGAGGAGGAGGAGGAGGAGGAGGAGGAGGAGGAGGAGGAGAGGGGAGGGCTTCTTAAGGAGCGCCCCTGCTTCTTCGAGGGCGCGGGCCTCATCTACAGATGTGGGGTCGGCGCTTTCCAAGAAGCAGCCTGCTGGTGAGGAGCCTTCCCCTCCCCCCTTGTGTGCACGACCGAAGGATATAATAATAGTTTCGTTCGAGTCCGTACCATTCCCCTCGAGTCCTTGTTTCGTAGAGTCGTCATTGTGCTCGTCGACGGACGACGACGACGACGACGACGACGACGACGACGGCGACGGATGACGACTACAGCGACGGCGGCGACGACGACGACGGCGCTGGCGGGGCGCCGGCGAAGGAACACTTTGTTGCTTGTTAGTGGTGGGTGCTGGCAACCCTTAATTAGCCACCCGGAAGAAATATGGATTTGGCAATTTGGTTTGGGGGTTATTGAAGACCTATTCTCGGTTACCCCACCAAAGCGCCCCGACTCAGAGGAGGAAAAGGTACCGATACCAGTGCCCTGGCCTCGGTTCGCCTTCTTTGGCCTTTTGGGAGGCCCTTGTCACTGTCGCCACCGCTGGATTCGCCTCGAAGTTCTGGTCAGAGCGCACCCCGGGAGGGGATCTGGGGAGTAGCGGCATCGGTATCTTTTGGTCTCCCCGCTGATAGCAGCAAAAGTGCAGAGGCGGGATGGGGGGTCAGAGCAGCCAGAGCCGGCGAGAGCACGGTGAGACGCACCTGGGTGCATTTTCAAAAGGGGGTCGTGGCCGTCCGGATTCCGCATGTAGCCAGCATCGAGGCGAGAGCGCGACCCCGCGCACCTTCGTAGCGTAGGTTTCACAGGAGATCGTAGCTCTGCGGACCAAGCATGTAGCCAGCATTGACGAGGCAGGGCCACGATCCCTGAAGAGATTGTGGGGACGTCTCAGGCGAATCAGCACCCCGCACGGGGCGGTCACGGGCTCCTCTGTGTTGTAGTGCTACGAGAACTTCTTCAGGGAAACGCATGTAATCAGCCACGCGCAGAGGGGGGTGGGGGGAGGGGGGGGGGCTTCTTAGAAGTACCCCTGCTTCTTAGAAGGCGCGGGCCTGATCTATAGATGCAAGGCCGGCGCCTTCTAAGAAGCAGCCTCCTTCTAAGCAGCCCCCCCCCCTCCCTCCCCCCCCTTGTGCGCACCGCCAACTTGTAGCGAAACGCTATTGAGGAACATGCGCATAAGCTCAGACCTCCAACGCTTCAACGTGTTTCGCCGTTTTCGGCCTCCGCGGGCCCTCGCCAGGCCCCGAGACCGCCCAAAGACGGCTCGGGAGGCAAAGCCGTCCCTGGGGAGGGGGGTCGAGATATCCGCGGACCCCGTATTGGACAGATCGATACATCGGATCGCTGGGATCATCGATTCTCGGAGGTCCGCACGCAATTCTGGGATCGGTGCTGGATCCCCCTGGCGGCGCCTTTGGTGTTGTCCCATGGCGCGCTCCGCGCGCCAGGGAGGGCCATCGCCGATTCGAGAGATCCGCGCGGACTTCCGGCAGCTCATTTTGAGTGCAGGCCTCTGTTCCTCTGAAGGAGCTGTTCTCGTACAACAGGGAGAACTTCAAGTTCGACCAGGACCAAAGGATCGAGCGGGAGACCCTGCGGCTGGAGATGCAGGTGAAGCGCTTCGAGCTGTTCCGCGAAGACGTGCGAGATCTGGTGGAGCTCACGGTGGACCGCATGGACGTGTACCATCTAGTCGGTGCGCTGTTCCTCGAGTTCTGCATCGTCCTGTTCTGCGAAGGCAGCGGTATGCACCGAACAAGAACAGGCATCGACATTGTGGGCCTGGCCAAGGACCCAACCACAATGCAGCTGCGAGTGCCGGAAGACAGGTGGGAGCTAAGGGAGGGGGCTAGCACAAGGATTTTCTGCGTGCGTGAGAGGAACCGAGCGACTTTGCTGAGGGTGTCGCAGGGGCCAGCTGCAACGGGTTACATCTGGATGTAACCCGTCTCGGCTGATCTGAGAGTCGGTCGGCCCGGCCCTGGGGAGCAGCAGGGCGCGGTCTGGGGAGCAGCAGGCGCCGGGGCCCTTGGTGGAGCTCCTCTCGGGCCGAGAAACGTGCGAGGGGTGTGCCGAAATTGGCGCGGTCACCCATGGGATTCCTGCCGATGGGGCCGTAGGTGGAGCTCCCTGTTGGGCCCCGAAACGTGCGAGGGGTGTGCCGAAATAGGCGCGGCCACGCATGCCAGCCACTGGGGCCTTCGGCGGAGCTCCCTATGGGGCCACGAAGCGTGCGAGGGATGCGCCGAAATGGGCACGGTCACGCATGCGGTTCCTGCCAATGGGGCCTTGGGTGGAGCTCCCTGTGGGGCCACGTGTGAGGGGTGTGCCAACATGTGCGCTGTCACGCATGTGGTTCTTGCCATTGGGGCCTTCGGTGAGCTCCCCATGGGGCCACGACGAAGCGTGTGAGGCGTGTGCCAATTTGTGGTAGGCAGGGCATGCGGCGCAGTCAATGGGGCCTTCTGTGGAGCTCCCTGTGGGGCCACAACGCGTGTGAGGCGTGTGCCAAAGTGTGGTGGGCGGGGTCATGCGGACGCAACCGCTGGGGCTTTAGGTGGAGCTCCCCATGGGGCCACGAAACGTGTGACGGGTGCCCCAAGTGGGGGTGGTGGCGACATGCGGGCGCAACCATTGGAGGAGAAGGGCGAGGAGAAGCAAGCCGCCCGGCGCTGCTGATCCAAAACGGGGACCTGGCACCGCAGGATGGTTCGGAATTTATCGGAGGTCCGCGCGGATGTTTTGGATTGGCGCTGTCCCCCCGTGGCGGCGCCTCCAGCGCCGCCCCTGGCGCCCAGCGCCGATCCAAAAAGTCCGAGCGGACCTCTTAGAAATTATGGTTATGGAGTTCTGCTGTTCCTCCAAGAAGCCCAGATTCCGCGATTGGGGGCGCATGTCCCAGGGCGGTCAGGGAATTCATGCCCCCACCTGGGCGACGGAAGTAAACGGGGTCGTCTTCACCGACATCGGCGCGCAAGCTCCCCGCGTAGGGCCGCGCGTGAGCGCCCTCGCCTCCCTTTGGCGTGTCGTGCTGGCGGCCCGCGTAAGTCACCGCGTGTGGTCGCTCTGTCATCTCGCGTAAGACCCGTTGCTTTTTGGCCGCTCGCCTGCCGCCGCGGGGGTATGACCTCCCCCGGCCGCCCTGCGCCCCCGATCGCGTGTCTCACCGTCTCTTCGCCCGCTATAGAAGGCCGCGTGCAGGCCTCCGCGCCCCCGTTCCTGCTGTCGCTGTTCCTGCTGTCGAACGCGCCCGCGCCTCGGCTGCCCCGACACGCCCGTGCTGAAGCACAGCTCGTACAGTCGGGGCGTTGACCTCAGGAATAATGACTACGGAACGAGGCTCCGTTTTCCCATAAGTTAAACTTCGATATCCCATCGAGAACTTCAGGAACACCTAAGGCATCAAGGAACATGGAGCCCCTCCCCAATGAAAAGGGTTCCTTCTTCAGCGCCCCGACAGTACCGTGTTCAAAATCCGCGGTCGACTTGCGTGCACCGTACCGCGTTAACGCGTTGGCGTCTCACGAGGCGTCGTCGATCCTCGACCCAGGAATGGTGCGTTGCATCGTATTGATGCCCTCAGAGCCGAACGACTATGCACCGTACCGCGTCGGGGCGAGTCCTGAAGGGAGTCCTAACATGGTGCGGTGCATGGGGCGCGTTAACGTACAAAACGTCCGGACGATATTGCTCCTTCATTCGTTAGGATGCAGCTCCTGGAACATTTCGGTTCAGAATCGACGCTGATATGTACCTGGTGTAAGACGGGCCTAATATGGCTTAATCTCGCCTAATCCCGCTCCGTCTGGCTCAATCCCACTTGATCCCGCTCAGTTTGGCTGGAACCCGGGCTTCATCTGGCCTGATCCAGCTTTATGCCCCCTTAATCGGGCTTAATCGCCTTCAACTGGTCTGACGAAGACCTCCCAGAATCAGTATCGTTTAATCGACCCCCATCCCCATCCCCATCCCCATCCCCATCCCCATCCCCATCCCCTTCCCCTTCGAGACCCCCACCAAATTACCCCCAAGTTGGGGATACACCCCTCGAAACCCGAAGGGAACTGCCTATATCCCCATCTAGGGGGGTAAATCGGCCAGTGGGGCCCAGGCCACGCCGCTGGAGATAGGGATCGGGTAAACGATGCTCAGAATCGGGCTTAAGCGCCTTCAACCGTTCTGACGAAGACCTCCCAGAAGTTGACTCCTACCCTTCGGCGGCCTGGACTGACCGCACACTTTTAGTACACCGGCCCACTGCGCCTGATGCCGCCTGCGCACTCCTCGTGGCGAAAGTTCTCAATACTTGAGCCCTCCCCTCGCTTTCCTCCTTAACGGCGGCCTTCTTCTTATTATTATTCTTATGTTTATTATTCTTCTTTGTCCTCTTATTCGTCTTCTTATTCGTCTTCTTCTTCTTCCTCTTCTTGTTATTCGTCTTCTTATTCATCTTATTACTAGCCGGCCGCTCTGCGGTTGATCGGGAGTTTCTGTATATAGAAGAAGGTGCGTGCGCTTGTTGGCGAGGGTGAGGATGAGGTTCCTCCTCCTCCTCCTCCTCCTCCTCCTCCTCCTCCATCCTTCTCTTGCCTCCGTCTGTCCTCCTCCACCCCGCAGCTCCATCATCTTCTCCTCCTCCTCCTCCTCCTCCTCCTCCTCCTCCTCCTCCTCCTCCTCCTCCTCCTCCTCCTCATTCCTCCTCTGGGCACCTCCCCCGGGGCGCGGATCCACCGGATCTGTCCGGATCTGTCCGGAAACGGTGCCGGAGGCCGCTCTGGGCTCCTCTGGGCACCTCCCCCGGGGCCGGTTTTGTGAGGATGTCTCAAGCGAGGGCGCCGGTTTGGGATTCGTCATCCGGATCCAGCGGATCTGTCCGGAAACGGTGCCGGAGGCCGCTCTGGGCTCCTCTGGGCACCTCCCCCGGGGCCGGTTTTGTGAGGATGTCTCAAGCGAGGGCGCCGGTTTGGGATTCGTCACCGGATCCAGCGGATCCACCGGATCTGTCCGGAAACGGTGCCGGAGGCCGCTCTGGGCTCCTCTGGGCACCTCCCCCGGGGCCGGTTTTGTGAGGATGTCTCAAGCGAGGGCGCCGGTTTGGGATTCGTCACCGGATCCAGCGGATCCACCGGATCTGTCCGGAAACGGTGCCGGAGGCCGCTCTGGGCTCCTCTGGGCACCTCCCCCGGGGCCGGTTTTGTGAGGATGTCTCAAGCGAGGGCGCCGGTTTGGGATTCGTCGGCGGATCCACCGGATCCACCGGATCTGTCCGGAAACGGTGCCGGAGGCCGCTCTGGGCTCCTCTGGGCACCTCCCCCGGGGCCGGTTTTGTGAGGATGTCTCAAGCGAGGGCGCCGGTTTGGGATTCGTCACCGGATCCAGCGGATCCAGCGGATCCACCGGATCTGTCCGGAAACGGTGCCGGAGGCCGCTCTGGGCTCCTCTGGGCACCTCCCCCGGGGCCGGTTTTGTGAGGATGTCTCAAGCGAGGGCGCCGGTTTGGGATTCGTCACCGGATCGCGGATCCAGCGGATCCAGCGGATCTGTCCGGAAACGGTGCCGGAGGCCGCTCTGGGCTCCTCTGGGCACCTCCCCCGGGGCCGGTTTTGTGAGGATGTCTCAAGCGAGGGCGCCGGTTTGGGATTCGTCACCGGATCCAGCGGATCCACCGGATCTGTCCGGAAACGGTGCCGGAGGCCGCTCTGGGCTCCTCTGGGCACCTCCCCCGGGGCCGGTTTTGTGAGGATGTCTCAAGCGAGGGCGCCGGTTTGGGATTCGTCACCGGATCCACCGGATCTGTCCGGAAACGGTGCCGGAGGCCGCTCTGGGCTCCTCTGGGCACCTCCCCCGGGGCCGGTTTTGTGAGGATGTCTCAAGGATGTCTCAAGCGAGGGCGCCGGTTTGGGATTCGTCACCGGATCCACCGGATCTGTCCGGAAACGGTGCCGGAGGCCGCTCTGGGCTCCTCTGGGCACCTCCCCCGGGGCCGGTTTTGTGAGGATGTCTTAAGCGAGGGCGCCGGTTTGGGATTCGTCACCGGATCCACCGGATCTGTCCGGAAACGGTGCCGGAGGCCGCTCTGGGCTCCTCTGGGCACCTCCCCCGGGGCCGGTTTTGTGAGGATGTCTCAAGCGAGGGCGCCGGTTTGGGATTCGTCACCGGATCCACCGGATCTGTCCGGAAACGGTGCCGGAGGCCGCTCTGGGCTCCTCTGGGCACCTCCCCCGGGGCCGGTTTTGTGAGGATGTCTCAAGCGAGGGCGCCGGTTTGGGATTCGTCACCGGATCCACCGGATCTGTCCGGAAACGGTGCCGGAGGCCGCTCTGGGCTCGTGCTCTTCGCGCCGGGGGTGAGGATGACGTGAGTTCCACAGAAACTCCCTCAAATCATTCGTATTCTTCTTCTTAGTATTCGTTTTCTTATTGTTCTTCGTAGTTGTCTTCTTCTTCGTCTTCTTCGTCTTCTTCTTCGTCTTCTTATTTTTCTTAGTCTTCTTCTGCTTATTTCCCTCCTCGTCTCTGTGTGCCCGTGGCCTCGGCGCGGCCAGCAGGCTACCCGAATGCGTCATGCGTTCGCCTGCCCGAAGATCCAGAAACGCCCACGTCAAGCGCGAGAGCAGCACTTGAGCCCTCCCCTCGCTTGTCTCCTCAGCGGCTGCCTTCTTCTTCTTCTTCTTCGTCTTCTTTTTCGTCTTCTTCGTCTTCTTCTTCGTCTTCTTCTTCGTCTTCTTCGTCTTCTCAGTGGCCGCCCTCGTCTTCCCCTCGTCGTCTCTGTGTGCCCGTAGCCTCGGTGCGGCCCGCCAGCTACCCGAATGCGTTGTGCGTTCGCCCTCGCCGCTGCCCGTAAATCTAGAACGTGCAGGTCAAACGCGTGATCGACGCAGAAAAACGGGTTCGTCTTCACCGACGTTGTCGCGTAAGCTGCCCGCGTAAGGTCGCGCGTGAGCGCCCTTTTTTCCAATGTAGCGTGCTGCGCTGGCGACCCGCGGAAGCCACCGCGTACGGTCGCCATGCCGTCTCGCGTAAGATCCGTTCATGCTGGTCGTTCACGTGGCGTGATGATTCAACGCGTTGGCTCACGTTTTGGTGCACGCATCGCGCGCCAGACGTACGTTTTTCAACATGTGTGTTGAACTTCGTGTCAACACGCTCCAGGCTTTGTGTTGTGTATCTGGGCAGCTAATCTACGCCGCCCAGATGGGGTCGGCGTAGATGGGGTCAGAGGATCGCTCCGCATCCCCGATGCATCGACGATGCGGTGCGATGTGGAGCCAGATTTTTTCAAAGCGGATGGCGCCGATGCCTCGCCGACGTCTCCGATACATCTTCGATGCATCGTCGATGCATTGATGATGCGGCGCGATCCGCCGACCCCATCTACTCGGACCCCATCTAGGAGGCCTCCAGCTAAGGTCCGCGTTCATCTACCTGCTGCTTGCCGTGTGGCTCAGCATGCACGCCTCCATCGCCTCGCACAGCTTCGGCGTCCGGCTGCTGACGCGCTTCGTGCGGCTGCCCATCCCTAGCGTCAAGCAGATCGGCGCGCTCAAGAGCCAGCTGAGGGACTACGAGAGGCAGAACGTGGCCAACCTGCTGCGGGTGCCCTTCCTCGACAAGCAGGAGTTCGGCGGCGCGCCCGGGGGGCGAAGTGAGAGGAGGCAGGCCTTCTCAGGCAGCGCCGGGGCATTGTGATCGTTTGCTCATTCATTGTTTTGCCGATCGGCGCGGGCCCTCGCACCCCTCCAGTTCCCCCCTCCATGGAGTAGATCTTTGCTGTTTTTGTCGCCTGTTTCGAGCAGGTGGAGTCTCCTCCACAGGACGCACTGTTGCAAACAGCCGCGTTCAGCAGAGGTCCGGAGCCAGACCCCCCCCCCTCTGCCCAATGTCGAAACGCCGAGTGAGAAAAACGCTCACACTGCGGAAGCCCCCTGGCCTTATGAGAAGCCCTCCGTGGCCTCGCAGAAGGCTCAGAAAGCTCCCCAGAAGGCCTGAGGTCTTCTGAGCCGTCGGAGACGGCCGGCCCTCTCTGCCTTCCCCCCTGGGCGCGCCGCCGAGGAGTGGACGAACGTCAACGACCCAGACGCGCAGCCCGGGGCGACCGGGGGAGCCAGCGGGAGCTGGGAGGGCACCAGCTATAAGCTTTGACCGATCCTGGCCAGGCCCATTCTGGGCCCAGGATCGCTGTACATGCCTTCCAAGCCAAGCCAGGAGGGCGTTGGCACCGATCCGGGGCCCAGGATGGGCTTGTCCAGGATGGGTGCAGGTGTATCCCCTGAGATCCGACGTTGCAGAAAAATTGCAACAAGGCGAAAAGCCACGCCCAGAGCCCTAGACCATATTTTTCTGCGCGATTTTCTTCGAGCTGGATTGATCCGTGAGGATCCTGGGGCTCGACACCGGGCGAAAATGCTCGTTACAAAAAATTGCAACGCCTGGATCTGAGGGTCGCTTCAAGGCGCCAACTTCGCAGAGTGGTTTCTATCGCAAAATGAAAGGAGTCCCAGATTTTCTTGTGCATTGCATTCCAGATTCAGCTGTGATTTTCGAACAGATTTTTAAGTAGGGAGATGCGACTGCAGAAGCATCCACGTGAAATTCACTGCGTTTTTCTGTCGCCGATTTGCGCCGCTCCATCTGCATTCTCACAGTAGCCCGTCTGGAAGACCAGAGCCATGAGTCGTTGGTGAAGAGAGGCAGACCGCTGCCGGCGGTCCAAACACTGCGTCCACTTGTTTCCCAACATCTGTCAACTGGAGAACTGGCCAGAGAATTCTTTGGCTTATACCGCACCGCCGACCCCTTGGGGGAGTGTCGCTGTTGCGGCTTCTGGGTGCTGCGTGACTTATGCTTGTATTCATATCTAAGACGCTTACGGCGAATCACCGCCGCCCCCTGTCTTTTTGCAGGCGCCTAGGTGGCCGAACGTTGAGGCCAGACCTGCCAAGCTATCGGACCATCTGTTTCCCGAGTCGGCTTGGAGAGCCTTCGGGGAACACGTGGGCATCTTGAAAGTCATCTTGGCCGCCTGGAGGCCATTTTGACCCTTGCGGGCCTTCTTGGAGGACGTCTTGGAGGGCTCTTGGACCGTCTTGGAGGCCATCTTGAGCGTCTTGGTCTTGGGCCGTCTTGGGGGCCTCTGGGGGCCGTCGTGGGCCTCTTGGGCGATCTTTGGGTGCACTTGGGCCGTCTCGTGCCGTCGGAAGGCAGAAAAAAAGCAAATGCCACAATCCTTCAAACACTCGTGGGAAATATATGATTTTAACCTTTTCGGCCCTTCCTGGAGGCCCTCTTGGAAGCCTCTTGGGCCGTCTTGGGCCATCTTAGGGCCATCTTCGGTCGTTTTGGTGGGCTCCTGGCCTGGCCCGTCCGACGCCGTCGGAAGCCGTTTAGGGGGCCCCCTCTGGGCCGACTTGGGGTCCTCGTGGAATGCTCCAGGGCCGTCTTGGAGGCTATCTTTGGCGTCTTAAAAGCCTCCTGGGCCGTCTTGGGGGCCTCTTGGGCCGTTCTGGGGCCATCTTGGAGGCCTTTTGGGCGATCTTTGGGCGATCTTTGGGGGCTCTTGGGCCGTATTGGCCGAAAAGAGACACATGCCACCAACCTTCAACACAATGTGTTTGGCCTTCCTGGAGGCCCTCTTGGAGGCCTCTTGGGCCGTCTTGGGCCAGCTTCGAGCCAACTTTGGCCATCTTGGTGGGCTCCTGGCCCGTCTGACGCCGTCGGAAGCCGTTTGGGGGGCCTCTCTGGGCCGACTTGGGCCCTTTTGGGGTGCTCCAGGGCCGTCTTAGAGGCCATCTTGGGCGTCTTGGAAGCCTCTTGGGTCGTCTTTGTGCCCTCTTGGGGCAGTCTTGGGGGCCTCTTGGGCAGTCCTGAGGCCATCTTGGAGGCCTCTTGGGCGCTGTGGGGGCGATCTTGGGGGCCTCTTGGGCCGTCTTGGGCCGTCGGAAAGAAGGAGCAACTACGAAACTCGTTCAAACACCTAAGGACAATCAATGATGTTGGCCTGTTCGTGCCCTCCTGGAGGACCTCTCGGAGGCCTCCTGGGCCGTCTTGGAGGCCTCTTGGGCACCTCTTGGGCCGTGTTGGGCCGTCTTGGAGGTTTCTTGGGCGGACTTGGAGGCATCTCCTTCTCTCTTGGGCGGACTTGGAGGCCATCTTGGACCATCTTGGAGGCCATCTTGAGCCATCTTGGCCGTCTTGGAGGCCATCTTGGCTGTCTTGGAGGCCTCTTAGGGCCCTCTTGGGGCCGTCTTGGGGGCCTCTTGGGCCGTCATAGGGGCCATCTTGGAGACCTCGTGAGCGATCTTGGGGCGATCTTGGGGGCCTCTTGGGCCGTCTTGATCCGTCGGAATGCCGAGAAGAAACAAATCCCAAACTCCTTCAAACACCGAAGGGGGCCGTATTGAAGGCCTCTTGGGCCGTCTTGGGCCATGTTGAGGCCATCCTGAGGCTATCTGAGGCCTACATGGGCCGTCTTGGAGGCATCTTGGGGCCATCTTAGCCGTCTTGGAGGCCATCTTGGGCCGTCTTCGAGACGTCTTGGAGACCATCCTGGGCCATCTTGGCCGTCTTGGACGCCATCTTGGGCCAACTGGAGGAAACAGAGGCACGACGGATGCGTTTTGAGATCCTTTCCGGGTGGCTGGCGGGACGGGCCGAAGCCCCAGGGGGAGTCCTTTTGGAAGAAGAACCAAAACCAAAAGCCATATCGTCCGACACGCCACGCACCCTTTTGATAAGTCAAAAGGGGGCGGCGGATCTAGTGGCCTTCGGTCCATCCCGCCACCATGCCTGGGTCGTGGTTCAGAGGCCTCTTGAATTTTCGTTGGGATCTCGTGAGAAGCCTCTCGAGGGCCTGCCCGAGGCAGTTTGGAAGCTTCCCGGGGGCTGTTTTGGGGCCTCTTGGGGCCTCTTTTGGGCCTCTTGGGGGTCTCTTGGAGGCCTCTTGGAGCCTCCCGCGGCTCTCTTAGGGCGGAAAGCTAAAATTTTCGGTTCGTGGGCCCCTCTTGGGCACTCTTGGGCTGTCTTGCGGCCCTATTGGGACGTCTTGGGGCCGTCTTGGGGCGTCTTGGGGCTTTCTTGGGGGCCTTTTGGGCTGTCTTGTGGCGGTCGTGGGAGCTTCTTGGGCCATTTTCGAGCGTCGGAAGCTGTGAAAGGCGAGAAAACCAAACACTTTGAAATAACATCCATGAACATCACCGATTGTGGCCTCTTGGGTCCCTCTTGGGAGGCCTCTTCGAAACCTCTTGGGGTGTCTTGAAGGCATCTTGGGCCGTCTGGAGGCCATCTTGGATCTTGGGCGTCTTGGGGCGATGTTTCGGCGACTCGGGGCCCTCTTGGACCGTCTGGGAGATCTCTTGGGGGTCCGTTTTGAGGCCCTCCATGCCCTACCGCCAGATTTTCCGGAGCAAAGTACCCCCCCGGCCAGCCTGGCCGGCCCTGGTAGACCCCCCCTTCCAAATCGACCGGATCCGGCTCCCGGGGGAGGGGTTTGGGGAGGGGGAAGCATCTCACACGCCGATGGAACCCCAAGGTTTCGGCGGATTGTCTACACTATACCCGTTGTCCTGAGGCGCTTCTGCGAAGCCTCCTGGGATAGGGCCCGGACACGTTAGTGCATATACACCCACCAGAAATCTTACGAATTAGCCTGGCGAAGGACTCGACCATGTTCAGCTGCGAGTACCGCAAGACAGGTGGAAACTATGGGAGGGGGTTAGCAAACAAACTAAGGTGTGCGCGGGAAGAACGGAGCGACGTTGCTGATGGGATCGCAGGGGTCAGCAGTAACGGGTTGCATCTGGATGTAACCCGTCACGGCTGATTTGAGCGCCGGTCGGCCCAGCCTTCGGGAGCAGCAGGGCGTTGTCTGGGCAGGAGCAGGCGGCGGGGCCTTAGGCGGAGCTCCCTATGGTGCCCCGAAATGTGCGAGGGGTGTGCCCAAATGGAAGCGGTCACGCATGCGATTCCTGCCGATTGGGCATCCGATGGAGCTTCCTGAGGGGCCGCGAAACGTGCAAGGGGTGTGCCGCGATGGGCACGGTCACGCATGCGATTCCTGTCACTGGGGCCTCAGGTGGAGCTCCGTATGGGGCCACGCAACGTGTGAGGGGTGCGCCGAAATGGTTGGGTGAAGGCATGCGAACGCACCCGCTGGGGCCTTAGGCGAGGCTCCCTTGGGGGGCACGAAGTATGTGAGGGGTGCGCTAACGTGGGTTGGCGGCGGCATGCAGGCACAACCAGGTGGGCCTTCGGCGGAGCTCCCTTGGCGGCCACGGAACATGTGAGGGGTGCGCCGACATGGCCTGGAGAAGGCATGCGAACGCACCCGCTGGGGCCTTTGGTGGAGCTCCCTTTGGGGCCACGAAGCGTGTGAGAGGTTTGCCAAAATGGGGTGGCGGCGGCATGCCGGCGCAACCACTGGGGCCTTAGAGGTGGAGATCCCTTTGGGGACCACGAAACGTGTGAGGGGTGCGCCGACATGGTTTGGAGAAGGAAGGCATGCGAACGCACCCGCTGGGGCCTTAGGTGGAGCTCCCTGTGGGGGCCACGGAACATGTGAGGGGTGCGCCATTTTCGGTGGCGGCGGCATGCAGGCGCAACCATTGGGGCCTTCGGCGGAGCTCCTTTTGGGGGCCACGAAACGTGTGAGGTGTGCGCCGAAGTGGGGTGGCGGCGGGCGGCGGCATGCGGGCGCAACCGCTGGGGCCTTTGGTGAAGCTCCCTATGAGGGCCACGGAACGTTTGAGGTGTGCGCCAAAGTGGGGTGGCGGCGGCAGGCGAACGCACCTGCTGGGGCCTTAGGCGGAGCTCCCTTGGGGGCCACGAAACGTGTGAGAGGTGCGCCAACTTTCGGTGGCGGCGGCATGCAGGCGCAATCACTGGGGCCCTCGGTGGAGCTACTTTGGGGCCACGGAACGTGTCAGGGGTGCGCCAACGTGGGGTGGCGGCGGCTTGTGGGCGTAGCCACTGGAGCCTTCGGTGGAGCTCCCCATGGGGGCCACGAAACGTGTGAGGGGTGAGCCAAAGCGCGGTGGCGGCGGCATGCGGGCGCAACCACTGGGGCCTTCGGTGGAGTTCCTTATTGGGCCACGAAACTTGTGAGGATTGTGCCAACGTTGGGTAGTGGCGGCATGTGGGCGCAACCACTGGAGCATTAGGTGGAGCTCCCTTTGGGGGCCACGAAGCGTGTGAGGGTTGCGCCAAAGTGAGGTGGCGAAGCTCCTTATGGGGCCACGAAGCGTGTGACGGGTGCGCAAAAGTGGGGTAGTGGGAGAGAGGATGGAGGCGGGGAACGAGGGGGAGGAGGGAGACGAGGTAGGAGGGAGGACTCCCGGCTTTGCTGATTCAAGACGAGGACCCATTTCAACACAGGATAGTTGGGGGAAAACATTAATTATCATGGACTCCCGAGTCCTCTTCAGGAAGTACAGAATCTGGACTGGACTCTGGGCGTCTTCTTGGAGCTTTTTTTCCGTTGAACTTTCGTATATCTGGACCTGGTTTATTGCTTGCGACAACGTCTAGAGTGCGAAGTCCGTTTTTCTCAGCTCAAAACTCTTTCGCATCCACGCAGTATGCGTACCGCGGCTCACATCCGCGCCCGCAGCATAGACCCCATCTTCCTGCGCCATTGCTCGAGCGGGACCGATCCGTGCCGGCCTCGGGGCCCGCAGCCAGGCGAAAACCCGGATCTGAGGGCCGTTGGCGTCCTCCCAGGAGTGGCGGGCCGCTGCCTGTGGTCCAGGAGGACGCGCTGCCCGAGGCGGATGCCCTGCCCGAGGCCACCCGGCCCTACGTGACCACTGCCAGCGGGCAGCCGGTCCCGGCTGGGGCCCCGAGGGCCTTGGCGCCGGCGGCGGGCGGGGCGACCTCAAGCGACGCGCAGGGCCTCGGAGGCCTCTCGCCGAGGATCGAGGACAAACGCACACACAGACACACACGCACACACACACACCCACGCACACACACCAACACACACACCAGCACACACCAACACACACCAACACACACCAACACACACCAACACACAAACACACACCGACACGCATCAACACACACCGACACACGCCAACATACACCAACACACACCAACACACACCAACACACATACCAAGATACGCACCAACACACACAAACACACACCAATCCACACACCAACACACACACACCAACACACAACAACACACACCAACACACACCAACACACACTGACACACACACCAACACACACACACCAACACACACACACACACACCAACACACACCAACACACACCAGCACACACCAACACACATCACCACACATACCAACACACACACACCAGCACACACACCAACACACACAGCAACACACACAGCAACCCACACACCAACACACACCAACACACACACACCAACTCACTCACCAACAAATACACCAGCACAAACACCATCACGCACACACACACGCACCAAAACACACACAAACGCACACACACACATCAATACACACTCCAACACACACACACACCAACGCATTCACCAACACACACCAATACAGACCAACACACACCATCACACATACACACCAACACACACACACACACACCAACCCACACACCGACACACACACACACATTGACACCCACACACCAACACACACACCAACCCACACACCAACCCACACACCAACACACACACACACCAAAACACACACACACACACCAACACACACACACCAACACCCACACACACGGAAACACACACCAATACACACCAACACACACACCAACGCAAACACACCAACACACCACGACACACACACACCAACACACACACACGAACGCAAGCTCACCAACACACACACACCAACACACACCAACACACACACCAGCACACACACACACATCAATAAACACACCAACACACACACCAACACACACACCAACCAGTATCAACACACACCAACACACATACACACCAACACACACAGCACACACCACCACACGCGAACACGCACACACCAACACACGCACACCAACACACACCATCGTACACACACGAACACACACCAACATACACACCAACACACACACACACCAGCACACACCAACGCGCACACCAACACACCAACATTCGCACACACACGCACCCCAACACACACGCACGCCAACACACACACACACCAACAGACACACCACCACACACCAAGACGCATCAGCACACACCAATACCCACCAACACACACCAGCGCACACACCAACACACACCAGCACACACCAACACACACCACCACACACACCACCACACACACACACACCAACACACGCACACGCCAACACACGCACACCAACACACATACACACCACCACACACACACACACCCCAACACACACACCAACACGTACACACGTCAACACACACACACCAACACACACACACACCAACACACACACACACACCAACACACACCAACACACACCAACGCACGCACAGCAACGCACACACCTATACAAACAAGCACACACCAACACACACACCAACACACACACCAACACACAAACACAGAACAGCACACCAGCACACACCCACACACCAACACACACACACACTTACACACACCAACACACGCACACACTTACACACACCAACACACACACCAGCACGCACACACCAACACACATCAACACACACCAACACACACACACACCAACACACACACCAGCACACACACCATCTCACTCTCACACGTACACACACGCACCAACACCCACACACCAACACACACACACACCACCACACACACCAGCACACACACCAAAACACACACAAACAAATACTAACACACACCAACACACACAAACACACACACACACCAACACCCACACACCGACACACACACACACCAAAACCACACACCAACACAGACAAACAAATACACCAACACACACGCACCACCACACACACACCAACACACACACACCACCACACACACCAACACGCACACACCGCCACACGCCAACACACACCAATACACCAACACACACCAGCACACACACACCAACACACGCCAACACACACACCAACACACGCACACACCAACACACACATAACCACACACACCAACACACGCACACACCAACACACGCACCCCAACACACACGCACACACCAACCCACACATTCACCAACACACACACCAAGACACGCACTCACACACACACACACCAACACACACCAACACATACACCAACACACACACACACATCAGCAGAAACCAACACACCAATACGCACGCACCAACACACATACACACACCAACACACACACACCAGCACACACACACCAACACACACACACACACCAACACACACACACACCAACGCATGCACACACCAACACATGCACGCACCAACACACACACCAATACACACCAACACGCACATGTATATATATACATATTGAAGAGAGAGAGAGAGAGAGAGAGAGACAGAAAGAGAGAGAGGGAGAGAGAGAGAGAGGGATAAATAATGAGGGAGAGAGAGAGAGAGAGAGAGAGAGATCAGCAACAGAGAGAGAGAGAGAGAGAGAAAGAGAGAAAACAATAACTAGAGAGAGAGAGAGAGAGAGAGATAGATTGAGAGTGGCTTTCGCCCAATGCCGCCACGCCTGGGTTGTGGGTCAGAATCCTCATGGATGCTTCTTGGGGTTTCTTCGGAGGGCTCCTGGTGGCCTGTGGGGGGCAGTTTTGACGCCTCTTGGGATCCTCTTGGGGCCTCTTGGGGGCCTCTTGGAGGTCTCTTGGGCAGTCTTGGGGGCCTCCTGGCCGTCTCGGCACCCTCTTGGGGGCCTCTTGGGCCGTCTCAGGGCGATATTGCGGGCTTCGTGGGCCGTTTTGGAGCGTCGTGGAGCGTCGGGAACCCGAAATGGCGGAAACGCCCAAATCCTTCCAACACTATATGAAAATAAATGATTCGTGCTTTTTGGGGCCCTCTTGTGAGTGCTCTTGGAGGCCTCTTGGGCCGGGAGGCCTCGTCTGGAGGTCAACTTGGCCGTCTTAAGACGTCTGGAGGTCAACTTGGGCGTCTTGGACCCATTTTTCGTCGACTCTGGGACTTTCTTGGCCCGTTGGGGGCCTCCTGGGCGGGGCTGACGTCCCCGAGGCCCACGCAACACACTCCAGGAGCTGCCAGGAGTTCTTTAGGAGTTCCCAAGAGCCGCTGGGAAACCGTGTGTCTGGGAAGAACCTGACGACCCCTCGACCCACCTCTCAGAACTGCGTGAGCCTTGGGGCACTCCACTACGTGCTGAAGGCACGGTGGCGGATCTCTCTCTCTCTCTCTCTCTCTCTTTCTCTGTCATTCGATATAGAGAGAGATAGAACCTAATTGCATGTTTGTATGCCTGCATGCATGCATGTCTATATATATGCATGTATATATATATATCGATGTCTGTATGTATGCATCTATGTATGTATGTACGTATGTATGAATGCATGCATGCATACATGCATGTATGCGTATGTGTGTGTGTCTGATTATATGGCTGTGTGTATGTTTGTGTGCATGTATGTATGCATTGTGTGTATGTATGTATGTATGCATGCATGCATGTACGTATGCATGTGTGTATGTGTGTGTTCATGCATGTATGTAGGTCGTGTGTATATATATATATATGTATAGATTCCCCAACAGTCTTTGTGCTTAGGTTTTTGTTTTACTCCTGTTGTAATGAAATGGGCATTGGCTTCGATCTGGCGGCTCTGTTGCCGCCGTCGCCGCCCCCGTCGCCGCCTCGTCGCCGCCCGTCGTCTGGGCCGTGTCTCCAGTCTGGCGGCCGTCGCCGCATCGTCGCCGCTTTAGATTCTCCTTTCTAAACAAGAGATAGGCTCTACCACGCTTCCCCCCCGGGGTTAAAGACACACCAGGAACCGATGCGAAACGCATCGGATTCTGACCCAATGTCCATCCTACCTGTGAGTTCATACTATCCCAGCCAGGCCGGTATTGGCCCCCCCCCGCCGTCCTCTGCAAAACATACTATGCGCGCGCACTCGTTTCTCAAAAATCACAAATTTCCAAAAATCCCTTGCAAACGATGGGAAGAAGTGCACGCGCGCGTCGTCGCGCGCGCGTGCCGAAATCCTTTGAAAACCTTAGGTGTCGGAAGGCTTTCAAAATCGAGTGTCCCAAAAACATATAAAAGCATCGGGTTTCGCAACGCGGATGTTCAAAACAAGTATGCGCGCGATCTTGCGTTTTTGGTTAAAACAAAAGAACGGTTTTTCAATATTTTTAGACAATTCTACCAAACGGGCTTCGCGCGCGCATGCCGAAATCGTTCGAACGCCCTTGCGCGCGTGCCGTCGCGAGAACTCTTTGTAACAACGGGGCGAAGTGCACGCGCGCACGTCGTCGCGCGCGCATGCCGAAATCCTTCAAAAACCATCGGTTTCGGAAGGATTTCAAAATCGAGTGTCCAAAAAAACATACAAACACAGACAGGGGTTCGCAACACGGATTTTCAAAAAAACAGCATGCGCGCGCGCTCTTGCGAATTCGTAAGACAACCATAAGCGGTTCTCAATTTTCATAACATGCTACCAAACGGCCTTCGCGCGCGCGCATGTCGACATCGTTAGAACGCCATTGCGCGCGTGCTGGGGTGGCACTACCTGTGTCAAATAATACTATGCGAGCCACTCTCGCGCGTCTGCCGCGCGCGCATTTCAAAATCGTTTCAAAACCTTCATCTCCGACGCGAAGACGCCGTCATCGTCGCCAGCGTGATCGGCATCGGCGCCGTCACTCGCCGTGCCGTCAACGCTGTCAGCATCGTCACCAACATTGCTACTATCATCAGCATCGTGTCTACAATCGTGTACGTTGCCATGATACCGCGCCCGTCCAAGTCGCCGTCAAGTGCCCGCTTGGATGTGCCGAGCGGTCAGCGCCACCGCGGCCGCGTCGGTCACGCCAAGCTACTTGGCCGCTGCGCGCGCGCATGCGCGGGTTGGCTCGGCCGCACAGACGCACCAGCCAGCGCCAAGCACTCATCGCAGTCGCCGCCGCATGAGGTTTGCAAACCGAGTTGCGGGTTGGGTGGGGGGGATGTTTGCGCGAGCAGTGGAGGGGACAACTCATTGCGAACAGAAGCCGATTTTTTTATAAACAAGGGAAACAGGTTCTACCCCCCCTCGGACTTACAGACCCCCCTTTGCGTATTGCAGTTTGCATATGGTTCTGCCCCATCGCCCATCCTAAGTGTAAATTTCTTATTTCCCAGCCAAACCGGAATCGACCCCCCCCCCCCCCTCTCGGTTCCATTGCAACATATACTACGCGCGAGCATTCGTTAATAGAAAACTGCATGTTTTCAAAACCCCCTTGCAAAACATGATACGAAGTGCGCACGCGCGCGCCGTCGCGCGCGCGCATGCAGAATCTTTCACAGACTCGCGGTTTCGGAAGGATTTCAAAATCGAGTTCCCCCCAAACATATATAAAACCACCGGGTTTCGCAACACGGATTTTCTAAGAAAGCTTACGCGCGCGTTCTTGCGAAATCTTGGGGAAACCATATGGTTTTTCAATACGTCCAGAACATACTATCAAACGGGCTTCGCGCGCGCATGTGGAAATCGTTCGAACGCCCTTGCGCGCCTACCGTCGGAAGGAATGCACGCGCGCGCGTCGTCGCGCGCGCATGCCAAAATCCTTCAAAAACCTTCAGTTCTGGACGGGTTTCAAAATCGAGTGCGCAAAAAAAATCAAAAACAAAGGATTCCGCAACCCGCATTTTCAACAAAAGCGTGCTCGCGCGCTCTCGCGTCGTCATCGTCGTCGTCATCGTCGCCGTCCTCCCTCCTCCCTCGTCGTCGTCGTCGTCGCCGTTGTCGTCTTCTGTCTTTCCTCGTCGTCGTCGTCGTCATCGTCGTCCTCTTTGTCGTCGTCGTCGTGTCCGTCGTCGCTGTCGCCGTGGTCGTTCTTCCTCCTCCCTCGTCGTCGTCGTCGTCCGTCGTTGGCGTCTCGTCGTCGTCCCTCCTATTTCGTCGCCGTCGTCGTCGTCGTCGTTGTCGTCGTCTTCCCTCCTCCCTCGTCGTTGTCGTCGTTGTCGTCGCCGTCCTCCTTCTTCATCGTTCGCGTCGTCGCCGTCGTCCCTCCTCCCTCGTCGTTGTCGTTGTCGCCGTCGTCGTCCTCCCTCTTCCGTCGTCGTCGTCTTCGTTGGCGACGACGTCGTCGTCGTTGTCGTCGTCGTCGTCCTCGTCGTCGTCGTTGTCGTCGTCGTCGTCGTCGGCGTCGTCGTCGTCTTCGTCGTCGTCGTCGGCGTCGTCGGCGTCGTCGTCCTCGTCGAAGTTGTCAGGGTCGCCGTCGGTGTCGTTGTCGTCGTCGTCGTCGTCGTCGTCGGCGTCGGCGTCGGCGTCATCGTCGTCGTTGTCGCTTTCGTCGTCGGCGTCGGTGTCGCTGCCAAGTGCAATTTGGCACCCACCGTCACGGTCTCAAGAGGTCTTGCGACCAAGTTGCGGGTGGGAGGGTGGGATGTTTGCACGAGCAGTGGAGAGGGCAGGGCAGCTTCAAGTCGGCGTCCCTCCTATTTCGTCGCCGTCGTCGTCGTCGTCGTCGTTGTCGTCGTCGGCGTCATCACCGTCTTCGTCGTCGTCGACGTCGTCGGCGTCGTCGTCGACGTCGGCGTTGTCATCGTCGTCGTCGTCGTCGGCGTCGGCGTCGTCGTCGTCGCAATCGGTGTCGCCATCGTCGTCGTCGTCGTTGTCGTCTTCGTCGTCGGCGTCGGCGCCGTCGTCGTCGTCGTCGGCGGCGTCGTCGTCGTCGTCGTCGCCGTCGGTGTCGTCGTCGTCGTTGTCGGCGTCGTCGTCGTCGTCGTTGTCGCTTTCGTCGTCGGCGTCGGTGTCGTTGCCAAGTGCAATTTGACACCCACTGTCACGGTCTCATGAGGTCTGGCGACCAAGTTGCGGGTGGGAAGGTGGGATGTTTGCACGAGCAGTGGAGAGGGCAGCTTCAAGTCGGCGTCCCTCCTATTTCGTCGCCGTCGTCGTCGTCGTCGTCGTCGTCGTCGTCTTCCCTCCTCCCTGGTCGTTGTCGTCGTCGGCGTCGTCATCGTCTTCGTCGTCGTCGACGTCGTGGGCGTCGTCGTCGTCGTCGTCGGCGTTGTCATCGTCGTCGTCGTCGTCGTCGGCGTCGGCGTCGTCGTCGTCGTCAGGGTCGTCATCGTCGTCGTCGTCGTCGTTGTCGTCTTCGTCGTCGTTGTCGTCTTCGTCGTCGTCGTCGGCGTCGTCGTCGTCGTCGTCGTCGCCGTCGGTGTCGTCGTCGTCGTCGTCGTCGTCGGCGTCGGCGTCGGCGTCGGCGTCATCGTCGTCGTTGTCGCTTTCGTCGTCGGCGTCGGTGTCGTTGCCAAGTGCAATTTGGCACCCACCGTCACGGTCTCATGAGGTCTGGCGATCTAGTTGCGGGTGGGAAGGTGGGATGTTTGCACGAGCAGTGGAGAGGGCAGCTTCAAGTCGGCGTCCCTCCTATTTCGTCGCCGTCGTCGTCGTCTTCGTCGTCGTCGTCGTTGTCGTCGTCGTCGTCGTCGTCGTCGTCGTCTTCCCTCCTCCCTGGTCGTTGTCGTCGTCGGCGTCGTCACCGTCTTCGTCGTCGTCGACGTCGTGGGCGTCGTCGTCGTCGTCGTCGGCGTTGTCATCGTCGTCGTCGTCGTCGTCGGTGTCGTCATCGTCGTCGTCGTCGTTGTCGTCTTCGTCGTCGGCGTCGGCGCCGTCGTCGTCGTCGTCGGCGTCGTCGTCGTCGTCGTCGCCGTCGGTGTCGTCGTCGTCGTCGTCGTCGTCGTCGTCGTCGTCGTCGTCGTCGGCGTCGTCGTCGTCGTTGTCGCTTTCGTCGTCGGCGTCGGTGTCGCTGCCAAGTGCAATTTGGCACCCACCGTCACGGTCTCAAGAGGTCTTGCGACCAAGTTGCGGGTGGGAGGGTGGGATGTTTGCACGAGCAGTGGAGAGGGCAGGTTCAAGACAGTCAAAGTGTATTGCACCGCAAAGATTGCCCTCAGCGTCCTGAGTTGCTGCTGGGTCAGTCTTTGGGCGAGGCGGTAGGGCGCCTGAGGGAGCCCGTGGGAGCCTATGAAGCCTTGGGCCCCTTGGATACAGCCCACGCGGGCTATTCGGAGGCATCTTATCGAATATATATATATATATACGTAGATACACACACATATATATATATATATATATATATATGTATCTGGTCCATTCGAAAATCTCACGACGCCTAGGCTGGGGGTCGACATATCCTCTGTTGAAGGCTCATGCTTTTTGGTTCCCCCCTCGAGGACAAGCGATCCTGGCGCCGCTGGCCCGCGGGCCGGACCTCCGTCGGGGCTGTGCGCCGGGGACCAGATGCTGCTCCCGGAAGAGGTACCGGGGGCCCCCAGACGCTGCGATGACCATGGTCTCAGGCCTAGAGGTTGACACCAACACCAATTTCGGCGGTGTGCCTCCACCGGCTGAAGAAGATCCCGATCTCGGTGATGGTGGTAATATTCTGGCTTCCAAGGTGGCCGAAAGATTACCACCGAGACCGAAATCTAGGATAACCTTCCCCCTGTGGAGACAACCCCCTGTGTTGGTGTTGGTGCCCACTTCCAAGCCTCCAAGACCACACCGTATGGCGAGTCAGTGGCCACTGCGCGCTCATGCTGAAATTCTGTCGGCGGTGGGTGCCCCCCCCCCTCCTGTCCTTCGCGGCCGCCCCTCGCCGCCTGTGCTTCCTCTTGCAGCCGGACGGTTCTGTATGCTGAGCGCCCTCGGCTACGGTAGCGGGGGGCGATCGAGTAGCCGGGCTACTCGCGCGCGCGTGCCCGGGGTGACCGTGCGTTTTTTTGTGCTCGGGTCGTTCTCCGAGGATGCCTCGGGCGACTGGGGCATCCAGGGGCCCGAAAAAGTGGGGTGACCGCGTGCGGTGAGGTCTTTCAGGACTTCGTGGTCGCCGTACGGTCTGTCGCCGCACGGATTTGGGACCCCCCAAAAGGTCGACCTGCCCTTGGGCGGGGAGGACCTCCTCAGCGGCCATCGCGGCGCGAGGCCGGAGCGGCACGTGCAGCTCTTCCGGCAGCTGCAGTCCAAGTGGCAGTGCTATGACGCCTACTGCCGAGTGTGCATGGGCCTGGGTGTCAACCAGATCCTGCAGGTCGGGGGAGGAAAGGTACCCATACCTCTACCCTTCTCTCGTTTTCCTCTTTTTGAGCCTCCTGAGGCCCTCGTCGCCACCGCCAGATTCGCCTCGAAATTCTGGTGAGAATGCACCCCGGGAGAGGTCTGGGGCGTAGCGATATCGGTACCTTTTGGTTTCCCCAGCAGGGCTTGAGCTACTACTGCATCTGCCACACGCTGGTGGAGAACCACTCGCCGACGACGGGCTACGCGCTGGTGGCCCTCTTCCAGTGCACCACGGTGGCCATCGCCGTGCTGGACCTGGCGGGGCTGAAGCGCCACGAGATCGTGGCGGTGCAGACCGTGGGCGTGCTCCCGTGCTTCCTCTCCGCCTGGGGCGTGGCCCACGGGCAGCGGGACCCCAAGGGCGTGCTCGACCCGGCGCTCGGAGGAGGAAAAGATCTACCGATACACGCCGGTCCTTGGAAGTACGCAGGTATGTTTGGAGATCCAGATCCCAATTTGCTTAGGGCGCCTTCCTGCTTCAAGGGTCGAGTGGTGTTCCCTCTGCCCTGGGCCTCAGAGGGCGGGCGGAAGCCCAATCCACTTTCAACGCCTTCCTACTTCATGTGTCTGCCCACTTCGTCCGACCGACCTGTGCCGCTATGTTTGCCATGCTTTTTCTTCGTGGCGCTTCCCGGGAGGCCCTCGTCGCCACGGCCGGAATCGCCACGAGGTTCGCCCCGAAAGTCTGGGCACGCCGCACCTGGGCGAGGTCCTGGGAGAGCAGCGGCAGCGGTGTCGTTTGGCTTCCCCGATGGGCCTGTTTCCACCACCACCACCACCATCAGTTGGAGGGGGAGGGGGTCATCCTCCTCCTCCTCCTTCTCCTCCTCGTCCTCCTCCTCGTCCTCGTCCTCCTCGTCCTTCTCGTCCTCCTCCTCCACCTCCTTCCCCCCTCCAACTTATGGTGGTGGGGGTGGTGGGAATCAGGCCCATCATTCCCCAGGAGCAGGACTACATGCTGTCGCCCCTGAGCTTCTTGTGCCAGGTGCTGTGGCTGGAGCTCTGGCTGCGCGTGGCGGCGCCCAGCGGCGTGGACGAGGCCAAGCTGCCGCGGCGCTTCCGCCAGGTGCTGTTCCTGGACGTCTTCGGCGACGCCGTCGGCTGGGACCCGACCCAGGCCGAGGACGAGTCGTACGCCGACAAGGTCGCCGACGCGTCCAGCGCGCTCTCCTGGGACAACGTCCAGGGCTCACTGGGCGGCGGGGAGGAGGAGGGCGACGACCTGGACGCGGCCCAGGAGGCGGTCGCGATGGCCGTGGAGAAGGCCTCGCAGCAGCTGACGCTGGCGCAGTGCGCGATGCGGCGGTGGCTGGCAGTCCCCGACTGGTGCCTCTCTCCCAGCCAGCGTCTGGAATTGGACGCGATCGCCAAGCAGCTGGACAACTGGGGTAATTCCATCAAGCTCGAGGCTGACATTCAAAACGCAAATTGCAGAAGCACGCACTTTCGAAGGTCCGCGCGGATTTTTTGGATCTGCGCTGGGTCTGGGGGGGGTCCAGCGCCGATCCAAGAGATCCGCGCGGACCGGCGCACGTTTGTGTGTATGTAGCTGTTTCTTCCCGTGGAGGTGCAGCGCCACAACGCGAAGCTCGGGCGGGCCGACGACCCGAGGCTCTTCACGGAGACGACCTCGCTGAGGAGCTGGCTGGACCTCAGCGCGGAGGAGCGGGCGGCCGACCCGTTCGCGAAGTGCTTGCTGGGCCCCTTCCAGCACGACAACGGAGACGACATATCACCAGGGAAGGGAACACGTCGGCACGAGCATAACCTTTCGGAGGTCTGCCCGGAACGGCACTCGAGCCCCCCTCCCTGGCCCGTGGAGCGCGCGCCAGGGTGAGGGGTCCGCGGCGCCGATTTAAGGAGTCCGCGCGGACCTGTCAGATCGAGGAAGCGCCAGCATGGATTCAGGCGCGTGCATTCGCGGCCTGATCCTCGTCCATGCAGAATCGGCGCGATCCTTCGCCGAATCGGGCGACGCTGGCCTCATGTTTCGGAGGTGCTTTCCCCGATCCGTGGATCTGGCGCCCGCGCGCCAGATCCACGGATCCGTAGTCCATGCTAGCGTGGGTCGGGCCGAAAGTTTAACGCTCGTGCCGTTGTTTCTTTCTCGGACGTCGCACTTCCACTACGAGGTCTTCGGTACCAACTCATGGGAGCCTTGTACACCCTCGGATTCTTTACTTTGAGAGTGCGTTAGCGTCGATTGGCGTCTGGTGATCGGTGAGGCAGCGCCGATCTAGCGCCGACAGCGTCGACTCGCGTCGATTAGCGGCGATCCGCAAGAGCCAGCAAGATGGTATGGGAGGCTCCCATGGGTTGCCGCAGAATAGGTCGAGAGCCAGAAGACGTTCTTCGGCGGCGCCGTCTCCAGGGAGTGCCCCGGGGCTCTGGTGCTCGCGCTGGAGGCGGCCCGCGGAGCGGAGCCGTCGCTCTCTTCGGCCGGCCCCCGACCTTCGACCGCTGGTCGATCCTGCATCTTCGACCCTGGATCTTCGATCCTCAATCCTGGATCTCCCATCGATCCTCGATCCTGGATCCTTGATCTCCCATCGATCCTCGATCTCTCCCACGGATCCTCGGTCCTCGATCTCTCATCGATCCTCGATCCTCGATCTTTCGATCCTTCGATCCATCTCCGATCCGGGCCATCCCGGACCATCCTCGACCCCCGATCCTTGCGGGGCGCGCAAATGTGGGGGCGGCAAATTTGGGGAGGGGGCAGCGAGGGCTGCAGAGCAGGGTCCCTTCAGGGCCCCCATGCGGAGTGGCCCTGTAGGGCCCCGAAGTGGGCCTGCAGGCCCTGGAAAGGGCACCTTTCTCCTCCCCCCCCTTCATTGATCCCCGCCGCCCCGTGAAGCCACGCCCAAGACCCACGACCCACGATCCCCGGCGCTCGGAGCTCCAGCTCTCAGGGCGCCAGATACGGGGGCACAGCAAACGGGGGCACGAGGAACGCCGATTTCCACGTTTGGCTGTGCCCCCGTTCAGGGGGCCCTGGGCGCCGTAGACGGGGTGCAGTAAACGGGGGTATATATGGAAAAGCCTGAGTCCCCGTTTAGCCAAACCCCCGTTTGCGAGGCCCCGATCCTCGAGGGCCCCCCTCCCCGCGCAAGAGCAGGCCGTGCGCGCCATGGCCGCGGACCTCGAGGGGGAGGCGCGCGCCCTGCTCGAGATCCGCATCACCACCGACCTCCGCGCCGCGGTGCGGCAGCAGCGGCGGGCGTCGGCGGAGACCCTCAGGACGCAGGCGGCCACTCAGGGCCCATGTCGATCCGATCGCTCCTCCGCCTCGTCCTCCTCCTCCTCCTCCTCCTCCTCCTCCTCCGCCTCCACCGCCTCCTCCTCCTCCTCCTCCTCCGCCTCCGCCTCCGCCTCCACCTTCTCCTTCTCCTCCTCCTCCACCTCCGCCTCCTCCACCTCCTCCACCTCCTCCGCCTCCTCCTTCTCCTCCTTCTCCTTCTCGCCTCCTCCTCCGCCTCCGCCTCCTCCGCCTCCGCAGCTGCTTCCAGGCGTCAAGGTATGTGCTGCGCAGCTAAGTCCGATACCGAAATGGCCCCTTAATTGTGCTTTGGTCCCCACCTCGAGCGCTGGTTGCTCTAGGGCCGACTGGGGACCGGCCAGATGGTTCGTATCTGCTTGTACAATCCCCAGACATTGGTGCAGTCAGGAAGGTTGGATGATGTGACGATAAGCTTCGGATCATGTCTGCTCGTCGGTCTGGTTGGTAATTACGTGGATGCGGACGGACATGGTGGTGGATAATCGACGGACGGCCAAGTTTTGGGAGCTGCGATGGGAAGGGGGGATCCGCACTGTGGTCTCTCGTTGCTCATTCATCGTGCTCATTTCAGTGATCGCTGTACTCGTCACGTTTGGTCTGGGGAGGATGCTCTTCGTGGGAGGGTCGGAGCAGTTCGCCTTAAGACGCCAACGCAAGACTTGTGAGTCATCATGGGTTACAACTTCCAGCTGCCAAAATCGGAGACGGAGAAACAGCGAAACCGGGGGTGTTTCAATTGGATTGACGAGGTCATCGCGTCGCTTCCTCATCGTTGTATCCCTGTTTTGCTTTTGGACTCGAATGGGCACGCGGGCATGGGTAAGGAGCGGAGGGTGTGTGTGCCGCCGACAGTCTGCATCGCACGGTAGATTTCAGCTCCAGGAGTTCAATGTTAATGGAGCCTGGCTATCCAGATTGTGTGACAAACACTAGCTGTCCCTTGTCAACACGTTTGAGCCGTGTGGGCATTCGTTCTATCCGAACAACGGCGGGGCTGCAACCACAGTGAACTACATTGCGATCCTTCGGAGCGTCCAGTGCAACTCGGTACGTATCTGGCACTCTGGCACCGGGCGGGGGATGCATTGCAATGTTCTTTTAGTCGTTCGCCCCGGGATCATCGACCATTGGTTGCTGATGTGGTCCTGGCATCCGGGTATACGGCGCAATCTGTGCCGCAGCGGTGGGATTACGACAAGATTAACTTATGTATTTTCACTGGGGCTGGAAGGGGGGCTTTCATCTCAAAGCTCGAATCCAACATACGAGAACTGGATGATCGGATTCAGGAGGCTGTGGCTTTACCCTACCCCGACGTTTGGCAACGGACGGTCTGGGATGTGGTGTCAGCATGCGCTCGGGAGGTTTTTGGAGGGAGTGGACCACGACGGGACGATACTCATGGAGGGGGCATGGATGAGGAGCAGCAGCAGCGGGACATACGCCACAAGCAGCAGGAGAAATGGGAGGCACGGGAAGCGTTACGACACGCTACGGGGGAGCAGGAGGCAGGAGCAGTTGAACGAGTACGTACCGCTACACGGGAACCCCGCCGACTCAAGAGACTGCGGTACGCACGACGGACGGAGGCATTGGTGGACGAGCTGCACGACGCTTGGAACCGGAGAAACTTGCATCGTGCCTGGCAGGTGTCGCGACAACTCAGTGACAAAGGAATGGGTCCTAAACGTCGTATGTTTTGCGCCTTATTCTCACCATCCTTCTCTCCCTCTGAGCTCCTCGCACACTACTCGCACTCAGGTGCTGAAGGGGGGGGGTTCCGCTCACGAGGTTGATTACGACCGCTTGGTGCAGTCCAGGGAGGGGGGGCCGGCGCTACACAGGCTGCTGGCGTGGCTCAGGCATCGGACGATCATATTGCTCGAGCTTGCGAGTCGTTCCGACAGACGAACAGACAATTCCAACGGGCTGCCGTACGGCAAACACCACCAGGATGGGGATTTCCATTTGGGATTTGGAGGTTGTTGTTGTGTAGTGAACCTCTTCGGGGTCGTTCCAGGCCTGTCACTGGGACTGCGTATCGCTTACAACATGTTATGCAGCAGGTACACGTTCATATGCAAACATCGTTTGAAACCCCTCTACTGTGGCACAAAACGCATTGTTTCCACCTGCCGCTGCCGAAGCCTAATCGTAAAAAGGGGTTGGGAGGACAACGAGCGGCTCACACACCAGATTCCTGTTCTAAAGCGTTCTACAAGGCTCTGTGGGACAGGGGGAAGCACACTTACTACAGGGACTATGCTTGTGGATATGTGCGGCACCGTGCGCGGGAGCAGGCAATCGTCACGTTTGCGATCACTCGCGACCGGCTGGCGGTTAACCGACGGTCTCATGCAACGGATTTCTTGGATTTCTCGAGCGTTTTTGCATGCCCGCGGCACGCAGAGGACTGGGAGCCGTACGCAGCTCGTGCGTTTAGCAACCCTGTTGATTGCAAGCACGTGTGTCAATGTCTCGAGCACGCGTGCACCGTCATCGACGACTCCACTGGGGGGGCCGCCGCACACCCCGACACGCACGTGTGTTTCGAATGTCCATGGGGTGGAAGTGTATGGGAGAATGTGGAGGACGGATGCACAGCGGACACGGCAGTGCAATCCTACGCAGACGACTCCAGCAAAACATATCAGGTGTCCGATGCTTTCGACGTCCGGGAGAAGGCGCCTGGGTATGCTAGAACGTGCACGCGCGTGTTTTCAACGCGGAGTATGCAGCACAATCTTGGGAAATCAGAATCATTGGTTAAGTCTTGTGGTGGGGTACACTCGAGCGGTCTACACGGAACCATCTATGTTGCCAGGGACAGTCTTGCATGTTGCACGGCACTTGGGTCCCCATGTGTCTGCAGGGCCTTCTGTGGCATTCGAAAAAGGCAAACGACTCGAGGCGATCCGACGGGGCTATGGGGCATTGGGTAAAATTTGGGCACGGTCACCGCGCCGACGGTGGAGCAGAACGGTTTTCCAATGCATGGTGCCTGGTGCCGGGCTCAGCGGTCTGGAGGCCTTTGTTCTCTCCAGTGCCGACGCGCAGGCCACCGACAGAGAACTTACCCGCCTTGCCCGGAAAGTCACACGAGGAACATGCGACAACATCCCAAAAGACGACGGCTCTACAACATACAGGGCGTGGACTAACGGCAGGGTGCTACGGGAGTTGGGGATCGTACATGCGGAGGTGTCTCTCCGGCAGAGACGTCTCAAGATGTGGCAACGTGCTGTCCCGCATCCTGGATAATCCAAATGCTTCATTGCTGCACTTTGGGGGAGCTTGCCCGGGGACGCCAAACATACGCTCGATGGCCATAGCAAGATGCATGCTACAGCGCTACAGCGCACAGGTGGGCACTACATTTGGCCCAGGATATCCGGGCCCTCGCATTCGCTTCGGGAAGCAATCGGCTTTCGGAGCGTGCCGACCGACCGTTGCGCCTATTCCATCGCCCGTGTGTCGTGCAGAGTTTCTACAACAGGATGTGGGAATATTGTCATCCGGGGTTGTTTATTTTGCAGGGGGACCTCGTTCTTCTTCCACTCCAGTCCCACCCTTGCAGCAACAACACCTCGTTCAGGAGCAAGAGTACAGGCGGGCCGGTATTGGGGGACGACGGGGAGGAGGAGTGGAAATGTCGACTCAAGTGTGAGGATGGTGCCGTGTGTGGTCGTCTCCTTCGGAGTAAGGTGGCAATGCGGATGCATCCGCTGAGAAGGAGAACGCAGTTTCGACACACTTGCTGCGGCGCTGGCCCGTGTTAATCCATGTTGTGCGCGCTGGGCCATCCATTCGTCTGTCAACATCACGAGACACCATCTGCGACGGAGTCTGTAACGAGGCTTTTGCGATGCCCAGTGGGACAGAGAAATCACAATTTGTCATGAGATCACTGTTCCTCCTCCTTACTCTTGCCGAATCTGCGACATTGTGTTCGAGTCTGCCACTTCTCTGTTGTGGCATTTGCACTCTCACTTACGTGAAACATTACATATCGACTTGGGGGAGTTCCCAAACGAGTAGCATTGCAGACGCGGCATGGACGGCATTCTTGAGCGGAGGTGCTGCTGAACCCCCGCGAAAGAAGAGGGGCGCAAAGGGCTCAACCGATTCGGACAAGATCCGGGAACTACTGTCCATCCTGGTGAAGCTGTGCCTCCAGACGAAGCAGGAAGTCCGCATGCTCATGGCAGTCGTGTTCATCTGCTTCAGGGTTGCGACGGACAGCGTGGCAGCGCAGGGGGAAGGGCAAGGGTGGGCACGACGAGGCCGGCCCTGACCCATGGGCGTTCATAGCGTTCCTGATCGAGGCGACCACGTCGGAGCATCTTGAACCGAGAAACATTGACAAGATCAAGACCTTCCTCGCGGCCCACCCGCCGCCCTCTGATCCCAGAGGCGGGCCTACGAGCGAAGAGCTCCGAAAACCGTCCCATGTTGCAAGGTGCAGAAGATGCTCAGTTGCAACCAGATGAAGCTTTTTCATTCGTGTGCACCCGAAATACGTCGATCTAGAAAACATCGTGATTAAGCACCTCCGAGGCATGAAATGCAAGCAGTACTTCGGCCAGGCCCCCCCGGGGAGCTTTGGAGAGGAAGGCCCAGGACCTCTTCGCGGAACTCGACCTCCATTTGGACGAGGAGTAGGCGCGAGGTGCGCCCAATGCCTCGGCTGAGCCCGCCGCTCCCGTTGGCTTGCTTGGCCGGGCACGCCAAGGCGAGGCCGCTTCCCTAGGCCCGGGGCCAAAGCCTTCAGAAGATCGGCCAACGACTCGATCGCTCTGCCTGACTCCGGGTTGCACGGAGTCCATGCGCAGTTCCGCTGCCGCCGCCGCCTCCGCCTCCGCCGCCCCCTCCCTCTTCTCTTTTCTTCTCTTCTCTTCTCTTCTCTTCTTTTCTCTTCTCTTCTCTTCTCTTCCGCCTTCTCCTCCTCCTCCTCCTCCTCCTCCTCCTCCTCCTCCTCCTCCTCCTCCTCCTCCTCCTTTCGGACCTCCGAGCATGTTCAGCCGACGGGGAGGAAGAAACAGAAGAGAAGGGAAGAGAAAAAAAGAGGGAGGAGGAGGAGGAGGAGGAGGCCGAGGAGAAGGAGGAGAACGAGGACGAGGAGGTTGAGGAAGAGGAGGAGGCGGAGGGGGTGGAGGCGGAAGAGGAGGAGGTGGAGGAGGAGGCGGAGGAGGAGGCGGAGGCGGAGGCGGAGGTGGGGGAGGCGGAGGAGCCAGAGACCCTTGCCGGGGGGGTTCTGTGGCGCGCAGCTTTATCGGGGCCCATCTCGGTCCGATCCCTCTGTCCCGATGTCGACTTCGGCCAGTTCGGTCTGATTCGACTTCGGTCTTCCAGCAGTCCGACGCGGTCTGATGCCTGCCTGGCGCCATCGTGGACCTTGATGCAGCCGATCAGATCCAATTTCGGATCCGTGCCGATGCGGCCCGTCCGACGCACATTCCGACTTGATCCGTTTCCCGATTCCATGCTGACTGGTTCTGTCATCGGCAGCGGGCGGAGCGCCCTCCCTTTATTCTCATGGGCAGTGTTAGGGGGGATAGCATCGACCTCCTCGATTTGACGTTCGAGGTCCGAGGTTTCCGGACGTCCTCGTCTGTTCTTGGCGGCTTTCCAGCCTCAGAATGCCTTCCAGCGGGGCTGCGCTTTTGGAGGTGCCAGGATCGTCCCGAACGGACGCTGGAGGCCCGAGTTGTGATGCGAAGGCCACCACGGGATACGCTCAGAGAGGGATGCATCGATCCCCGATCGCCCATTGATCGCCGATAGGGGCCTGAAAGCCCACCCTGCCCAGGAAGGTGCAGATTCGCTATCGGGGGCCTATCGCCGACCCATCGGCCGTGGATCGCCGATTCCAGGTCGATGTCCCCCCCTGAACCAGTCCCCCCTAACGTTCCCCCGCAGCCCAGGGGGGGGGAGCATTACCTTGACTCCTCGAGTCGTGAGACAAAACACGGCAGGAGGCAGGAGGTTTTTAGCAATTGTCTGCCTTTGGGGCCTTCCCAACGGGCCCCACGCCTGTCATAAAGCAGCGCAGCACGAAAAGTTGTTTTGTCCTTTGATGGGGTCCAGAGCTCTGGGGGTCCAGACCTCTGGGGGTCCCCGGTGCCTTCCCCTCCCCACTCCCTTCCGTTCCCCGTTCCCCTTCCCCCTCCCTCTCCTGCTCTCCCTCCTCCCCTTTCGCGCGGACCTGGCCCAATCCCCTGGCGTCGCGCCGGGTGGACCTCCCGTGTGGGCCGCCTCCCTGGGGACGGCGGCCCCTTGGCGGCCTTCTCGCCTCGGGCTGTTTTTTTGTTGTTCTTCCTGCAGCGGCGCCTCGCCGAGGCGCCTCTGGAGGTACAATCCCGGGATCGTCCCGAATGGCCGCCTGAGGCCCGAGCTGCGGCCCGAAGACCGGCATCTCCCCTAGGGGGCCACATGCGAACCCTGCCCCTAGCCCCCCACGATTCCTGAGGGGGTTAGGGGTAGGGTTCGCATGTGGCCCCCTATCCTCGTCGCGAAGAAACTGGGCGTCGCGTAATGGGGGGGGGTCGATGCGGATGCATGAGGGGGCAGCGAGGGGGCTGCAGAGAAGGAGCCCTCGAGGGCCCCTAGAGGGGCCCTTTAGGGCCCCAGGGGGGGGCCCTTCAGGCCCGAGAAGTGCACCCCTCCTCCCCCCGCTCCTCGCCCCCTCCATAAAGCAACGCCCAAACAAAATCCCTGCGTGCGTTGGTCGCCAGTTGTCGGCCTGCGGGATCCTCGCCAGGCCCTGGGGCCGCCACCAACAAACGACTCGGGATGCAGAGCCGGCCTTTCTGGAAGAGGTCCAGACCGCTGGGGGGCCACGCTGGGCAAGCATTGCGACGTTGGATGCCCGGGTGCATGGATCTGGGGGCTCCGATCGCTCACGTCCTCGGCGGGGCTCCGCGGCGAAAGGGCGAAATGCCCGCCCCGGGCTGTCCACCCTATCGGAGAAGAGAAATGCGACACCACCACCACCAGGGGTGCCACCTCCGGCGAGGTCCACGATGCTTCCCCGAGCTGTGGACAGGGTATGTCTCAAGCGTGAAGGGGGGACCACAACCAGGAGGAACCCTTTGGCTCATTGCGCTGGTGGTGGTGCTGGTGTCGCTTCCAGGGCGCGAGTTAAATGGTGGTTTGGCGATTTCGAGCACCGTTTTCGTTTTGATATCGAAGACTTGATGAGGGATAACGAAAACCAAAAACTCGGAAACCACTGTTCAGCTCGAGCCCTGCCAGGAGGACCCCCCTGGCTCTCCGCCTCGGCGGTGGTGGTGGTGGTGGTGTCGCTTCTCTTTTGCTCCTGAATCTCTCGCCCCCGCCGACAGGAGGAGGCGCCTCGTCGGCCTGGAGGCGTCCGCGCAGGAGGCCCAAGGAGAAGGAATAATGGCATCCACCGCCTCCTCCTTTTCCTGATCTTTCTTCTCCTCCTCCTCCTCCTCCTCCTCCTCCACATCTCTCCTCGTCCTCATCCTCCTCCGCCTCCTCGTCCTCATCCTCCTCCGCCTCCTCGTCCTCGACTCCTCCTCCTCCTCCTCCTCCTCCTCCGCCTCCTCGACTCCTCGACTCCTCCTTTTCCTCCTCCTCCTCCTCTTCCTCCTCCTCATCACTTTCTTCCTCCTCCTCCTCCCCCTCCTCTTCCTCCTCCTCCTCCTTCTCCTTCTCTTCCCTCTTCTCTTCTCTTCTCTTCTCTTCTCTTCTCTTCTCTTCTCTTCTCTTCTCTTCTCTTCTCTTCTCTTCTCTTCTCTTCGCTTCTATCTCTTCCTCCCCGTCGGCTGAACATGCTCGGAGGTCCGAGCAAAGTTCTCGGGTCGGCGCTGGACCCAGGACTCCGACGAGAGATGCTTCTTCAGTCCTGGCGCTTTTCCTCGACCTCGGCCGAGCCTGGGCCTGTGCTCGTTCCCGGGGGCCATCCCAAATGGGCCCCGCGGGGCGACAGATTTCAGGAGGGGAAGAACACACACAAGCACAAATGATCGTCGACTCCCAGGAAAAGATGGGAAAATATGGGAAGTGGGGGGGAAGACGAAAATCCAAACAGTATGGAAAGCATATGGGGAATATTGTCATGTGTGTCTATTTATGTATGTGTGTGTGTGTGTGTGTGTGTGTCCCAGGGCCCCTTCATATCGGGACCTCTGGGGCCGCGCGCCGAAAAAAACACACGATCGGCGGACGTGATGCGAGGCCCCCGTGGGCGGCGCCCCGCGCCGCCCAGGCTGCCCTCGCGCAGGCGGTTGAAGAGGTGCGTCCTCTCTGCGCCTCCTCCCCGTGGCCTCCCGATCGAAGGGATGTTTCGCGCGGACCGCCGAACGCTTACGGAGGGAACAGTTTTAAGTCGGGCATGTCCCTCAGGGGGAGTATTCAAAAATAGTTAAAAGATACTCAGGGGACGATTTTTTTAGCAGCGTTACATTTTGGTGTATTTTTCCGGTATTTTTGAATTTCGCCCAGAAGCCGCCTGTAGGGGAACACGCCCAACCCAAGGGCAGTTGTTACGGGATGTACCCAGGAGGGCGGCGGTGACATCCATGGCCAATCCACGATGGGAGTTCCACCGGCTTCCAGACCCTGGATTCCTGATCCAATGGCTCTTTTTCCAATGCCCTCTCCGTGTGTACGTGTGTCCTCTCGGGAGGCGGCGGCGCCGGGCGCCGACCCCGATCGCCCGGCAGGTGGGCGGCGGAGGACGCGGGCGGAGGATCGGCTGCCCGTAGTAAGGGTGGCCCTCTGGTGCGCGGCTTGCCGTGGGGCGCGAGGGCGGTGGGCCCAAGCCAGGCGCGCAGGTCGCTTACAGCCAGGACGCCGAAACGGGGGCCACTTCGGGGTCCAGGGATCGGCGGCTTGGATCCGTCACGTGAGGCGAATCGGAGGAGGGGAGGAGGAGGAGGAGGAGAAGGAGGAGGAGGAGGAGGAGGAGGAGATGGAGGAGGAGGAGGAGGAGGAGGAGGAGGTAAAGAGGAAGACATGTCCCTCATCCGCGCTGGCCAGCGCGGATGAGGGACATGTGGCGCGCAGCTACGTGCGAGGAGGTAAAGAGGAAGAAGGAGAAGCGGGATTCGGTGGGGAGGGGGGGGGGGACTTCGCTGCACGTGACGAGATCCCCCCTTCCTCAGGGGAAGGGGCTCCGGCGGCCGAGCTTGTCGGGCCGTGCCCGAGAAGCTCGCCGTGGCCGGACGGCCCCCCCCCCGTGTCGTCCCTGCCGTGGCCGGACGGCCCCCCCCCCTGTCGTCCCTTCGGCGGCGAGCCTGGCTTGGGCCCGCGCGGACGTGCGGCCGCTGTTTTTCTCGGAGCGTGAATTACCTACCCCGCTTTCGCTTCCAGGCAAAACCAAGCCATGCCACGCGCCTCCTCGTCAAGCGGCCTGACCAGTACAGGCCGTAGTTTGGCATCGTCTGGTATCTCTTGGAAGCGAGGGTGGTCAAAAGCGAGGTAGGTTTGTTTGCCCCCTATTTTCGGCGCGAGGCCAGCGCCGCGAGCTCTGGACCATCTGTGGAACAGGGGGTCGACCCCGAACGCGGTTCGGCCGTCGACTCTACAAGGAAAGACGCAGACTGTTCGGCGCATTTGTTCCAGATCCGACGAGACTTCCGATCGGGGGGTGAATCAATGCTGTAGTCGATCCCCTATTCGAATCTCGGAGCATCTTGGGTCACCTTGCGAAAGGGCGCACGAAGCCCAACAATGCACGGTGACTGGTGCTGCCGCGGCTCATGCAGCGCTGGGCAAGCCGAGCGCCAGAGGACCCCTGCCCAACCCTCTGACGTCGTGATGTTTTCATGGCGTGGACCCCCAGAGGTCTCGGCCCGCTCCCCGGGACTGGTCCTTTCTTGACGGCCCCGGGGCCATGCGAAGGGCCCCCACGGCCGAAGACTGCCAAAGGCCCTCGTCGCGTTTTTGTCGTGGCCCGAGGGGCCCGGGGGGTCTGGGTGCCCAGGGCGACTCGCCGCGGGCAGCCGAGAGGAGAAGTTCCCCAACCTCGCGTCCCTGTTCTCGCAGGGCGCCCGGGAGCCGGGGCTCGAGGCCTCGAGGCCCTCCGGGCGTGGGCGCCACGGCAGGACCGCTGCCGAGGAGCGCGCGGGCCTGATGATGAACCGGCAGGACTCGCCAGCATGAGGCGAACGTCGAAGACGAAAACCAGTGAAACACACACACACACGCACACGCACACGCACACGCACACGCACACGCACACGCACACGCACACGCACACGCACACGCACACGCACACGCACACGCACACACGCACACGCACACGGACACGCACACGCACACGCACACGCACACGCACACGCACACGCACACGCACACGCACACGCACACGCACACGCACAC